GATGGATGGATGGATGGATGGATGGATGGATGGATGGATGGATGGTTATAATTGTCGAGCCAACATACAGAGATTAACAATAATGTGTTAGCCCCCACCATGTAAAACTTGAAGTTAGGATTTTTACCTTTTCAGTGGTTCTCATGTCCTGAGCTAACGAGTCAAAATAAGACTTGTTAAAAACAATTGATCATTAGCTCAGAGCAAAGACTCTGACAGGCTGAATGTAATTGTGAGTTATTACTAATTTCAAACTCTGTAAGTCCAATAAAACCATTGTACAGACTTTATCCATCCCAAGAGCCACCAGTTGATAACCACTACTTTAAAATGGGCCTGTACAACCAATTTAAAGAGCATTCTAATTGTAGTTTATGATCATATCTTTGCAGGTGTTTTAGAGTTTTTGAACAAATATTTGTTGTTATGGTGTTTAATAGACCAACATGAAGATGGTCTAATAAAACACCGGGGGTAACTTTGAAATGTGTGCACATGCAGGGGCAGAATGACACGTCCAGGCTAACATCACTGAGCAAACATCTCACCTGGCAGCAAGCCCACCTGGCCGCAGGTTTGACACTCTCGGCTTGCCATCCTTATCAGAGCCTCCGGAGATGGTGAGGCCAAGGCTGCTGCCTTCCCTTTTCATCAGCTCCACCGTGGTCACTCCTCGGTACCCCTCTGATGACAGATACAGACGCAGGCACAGATCCAAAGTAAGAATTAGTGTCTGCTTGACAGAACTGCCCCATCTGAAAGGCAAGGAAAGAAGTTTTTTTTCTAAATCGCTCACAGATTATTTTCTGAGACACCGCCACAGACATTTTTTTATTCCATCATCCTCCTTTTCAGTTCTTTCAGGTCTCTGAGTGAAGTCAGAGGAAAAAATATGAAGTCTTGGAATGAAAAACATATTTAAAAAAATAAATGGAGATGAGCGCAATGGGTAAAAGTAATTCTAAGCTAGGCTATTATGTTACAATAAATTTAAAAACTGTCATTGTTACCAGACCTTGAATTTATATTAATGCATTTCATTATCTATTTAACAAAAACAAAGTCTATGTGCTTCATTTAAAAAAAATCTCTGGCCTCAGTTAATAGGTTAGTATCAGAAAAGACAGAAAATGTTTGGGTTACATGGAAGATTTACCAAGAGAAAGCCTCCTACCTTTAAGAGTACAACATCCTGACTTATGCTTGTAAAGTTTTCATTAAATATATCTTTAAACATCTGAGTTCTTTGGACAGTCAGAAGAAACAATGCCACATGTAGATAAATCCAAGCACAGCTTATCAGCAATATTATCTAGCATGAATAAAGTTCACACTGACAGCAATGTGAGATGGAAAAATATTGCATCCAATATTAAAGATGTTTGTGTTTCATGATTTCTAGCAGAACACTCAGTTCTCAGACTTTAGGTTTACTTGTGGCTCCTAGAGTCTCTAAAAAATAATGTGGGATGGAAGGAACAGCTTCCAATTTCTGTTCGTGATGCCAACACATCGTCTACTTTTAAGACTAGACTTTTAAAACGTTGCTTTTTCATAAACTTTTTGACTATGATGAACTTGTCCTTGTGGGAGTTCGGCTCTGACAGCTCCCTGCAGCTACAGCTAACTCTAATCAGCAGCACCTGAGGATCATCAGCTTGGGGAGCAAGAGGAGCATAAAAGGCTGCAGAGGACATCCAGTCAAGCTGGAGCATTACCTGCCAAATGGTAGTTCTGTTCTATCCTTTTACTCGTGAGTTAAACTGAATATAAACTTTGTCTTTCTCCGTGCTTCCAGTAAATAATCCCTGATGTCCTCCTGTCCCCTGGATTCTCTTCTGTGGACCTCGAGTTCTCCTTTGCATCCACACCTTCCTACCACTTGCCTGTCTCCTGCCATTGTTCAGACGAACACATTCTTCTCCGGGAACAATTTGGGTCAGCTCTCCCACTACTGACTCCTACCTCTATTGGTTCCAGTTCCCTCCCTGGTTCATTGAATGATTTATCACCTTGTAAATAAACACTGTACTGTAAATACATTTTGAGTCTTGGTATCTGTTCTCCTCAGTCCTTGTATCTGGTTACGCTGCTACGTGCTGGAGGACAGAGTCTACATTTGTTTGCACATAGAATTATTGCTGCTCTTAACTTGTGTTTTTCTTCCTATAAACCTGGACCAATACTGTAACTACTGAATGACTGTCTCTTTCCTGAACTTCTTACCCCCAGCCAGCCAGGGGGGCAGATGGCCAACCATCCTGAGCTTCTACCTGATGTTTCTTCCTGTTAAGAGGGAGTCATTACTGTCCAGTGTCCACTGTCACATCCAAAGCTTCCTCATGATGAGAGGATGTGAAGACGTGAAGATTTGACAAAACCTGACGCTTTTCTTTGGGTAGTTAACTTTTATTAATTGGCATTTTTTTATGTCTTATAATATACATAATGTGAATATGTTATAATTATAATGTACTGGCTGTAATTGATTTCCATCTGGATTTGTTTTGGACTAAATAGAGGCTGTGATTTAAGCATTGATTTTTATGGTGCTCTGAGATAACGTTTGAGAACTGGTGATATATAAACAAACTGAATTGAATTATATTAGGTTATTGCTGCTAAAAGTGGTTCCACAAGCTACTAAATCACGAGGTGTAGTTATTTTCAGATTGTGCAGTTTGGTTAAACTTTTGCTAAACAACTGGCAGCACAGTCTAACATGTTCATCAGGAGTTTTCTTTTCCAACTGATAAGGATAACCTGATAAGGACCAGATGATACATTTTGTTTTCAATTACATAAAATGCATTAATTAATCATGAATTAAAAGGGGATTAATTCACTTTCATTATTTGCTGCATTTCAATTTAAATTCCAAACATTGATCTAAAGCGCTATTCATAACTATAGTTGACATATTTGGGGTTTTATTGTGTCATCAGAGAACTCATTCTGTCTTGTGGTCAACATTGTGCTGCGTTGTCCAGTTTACATGATGTCTGCCAAGTGTGGCTCAGTACCCGTGACAGGTACGCCACAGTAGCATCTTTTCAACTTGTCTAAGCATTTAGAACAGCACAAGATCAAGTAAAACACAAGAGAGACACGACTTTACACACATACACAGAAATTCATTAATAAAGACAAGCAAGTCTTATTCTTCCTGAGGACCCAGGTGAAGAGGCAGGCAGCAGTGTGACTACAAGACAAAATGAAGTCATAAACAAATAGTCACAAACCAAATGACTGGATTGTACCTGAAAGGCAGCGCCCACGGGACGAATGTGATTGGTCAGTTGCCTCTTTGTTGCCCTTTGAGTACGGCCCTTCATCTGAGGAGGCAGCAGAGAGGTGACAGCGTTATTTAAACTCAGCAGCAGATGGAAAACTGAACATGACTGCCCATCTGTGTCACCTCGGTGCTTTGAACTTCAACCTGGGTGCATGACGCAGAGCAACACTGAACCAACAACCACGTTGTCCATCAGGCATAAACTGAAGCAGAGCGATCAGGAGGCAGAGAGGTTGTCCAACTTTGTCTCCAAAACTATCCTAAAAATAGAGGTCTGCATACCTTGGAGGAATGCATGCCACTGCTGCACTGCACGCCAGAATTTAAAGATCATCTTATGTTGCGTAATGACAGAGTTGTAGCTGGGGGTTTTTTATCTGGAAAATAAGTGTATATATCTTCACATATATTATTTAAAGGTTCAAAACATCAAAGTTCATGCTCAATAATCCAGGTAAAACATCCAACAAAGTTCAGTCAGGTCTTCTGGATGGTTTCTTTTGCTGAAATGTTTCATCTTTCATCCAAAGGACTTCATCAGTCCAAGGAGCCACAACAAACTGTTTTGAACCACTTTAGCCATGGCTGCCTCGGAGGTGTCGACGGGGAAGAGGGCAGACTCCAGAAACCATCTTATCACCATCAAACTGGTTGGCCCATGTGAGTGTGCTGCTTGTGGGACTGAGTTTGTTGAAGCTCTTTGGACTGATGAAGTCCTTTGGATGAAAGACGAAACGTTTGAACACAAAGAAACCGTCCAGAGGACCTGACTTAACTTTGTTGGAGTATTTAAAGGTCTTAAGGTTGCACATCTGTTAGCACTCAGAGTCTTTGTTGGAAATGAGCCTCAGCTACTACCACACTAAGTTTTAGCTCACTGTCTGTAAAACTGACTTTGTTATGACCATTTTTGTGTTTTCCAACATCAGTTACGGTTGTTGTGGCGCCCATCCTGAACTAAGATGACTTCAAAATTATCTCCTGAATTTTATTAAAAACCAACCAGCAATTCGGGAGATATTGTGCTAACAGACAGATGGAGTAGACTCTAAATAGTTAACAGACATTTAAAAAAAATATCATGAGTAATTTTGTCAGAAATTAAAATTTGTGTTGGGTTTAAGTCACAGCTGCTACCAGCTCAATCTCTGTCGATGGGACAGAGTTGTCAACATGTATGTTGTTTTAAGGGCAGTTGGCTGTGACCTTTCAGCAGCAGACAATAAGCTGCTGACTGGTTTAAAACAGCACCGTTTTTAACATTTTTCAGTCAGGTCATCTGAACAGTTTCTTTTTTTGTGCTGAAATGTTTTGCCTTCGATCCGGAAGGCTTCATCAGTCAAGGAAACACACAAAAAAGCTGATTCTTCCCCCAACAGCTTACTCCAAAGTAGAACAAACCAGTTTTACTTGTGATAAGATGGTATCTTTTGTACGCCCCCTCCTCCATTGCCAGCCCTCTTCCTTGTTGACAGTCTTGTCAAACTAGTTGAAAACAACAAAGTCCATCCTCAATAATCCAGATAACCTGACTGAAAAATGTTGGATTGTATACCTGGATTATTGAGCATGGACTTTGTTGTTAGCACCATTTTTATTTAACACAGGAATACATTAACTGTTAGCATGCATTCAAGCATGGGAGCAGCATACAGTGAACAGAATGTGTTTAGATGAAAAGAAATCCTCATTTTAATGTCAGTTA